GTTGAAAATAATAAGGGTAAAATAAAAGAAGAAGAAATAAAGAACAAAAAAAATAAAAAAGTATCTGGTGCCCACTGCAGTCCTACCACGACCGCGGTGGGCTAAATAGTCCAAAACAGAATGTTTATGTTTCAAGGCGGTAGATTGGACTACGCGAAGCAGTAAACTCGCCTCTCACCGCGGTCTTACCGCGGTGGTGCCCAGATTATTATTGTTATTATTTATAATATTTTTGTTTTATATATATGTAGGATGTTACATACAAACAAATTCTACAAACAACATTCGTGGGTTGCCTCCCACGCAGAGCCTAGTTTAACGTCGCGGCATGACACAGTCTTTGAGCATCACTCCTCATTCACGTACTGGAGCTCTTCCAACATGATTATCTCTTTGTACCCTTTGTCATTTTCCATTCCAAGGTAATATTTCAACCTCTGACCATTCACTGTGAACTTATTCGTCCCATCATCGGATTCAATCTCAACAGCTCCACCTTGGTAACATTTGCACTACTCTGAAAGGTCCTGACCATCGGGACTTCAACTTACTCGAAAACAATCGCAATCTGGAGTTGTATAATAACACTAGCTCTCCGGATTTGAAGTTTTTGTCCACGATGTGCTTGTCATGCATCAACTTCATCCGTTCATTGTATAATCTAGCACTCTCGAATGCTTGGAACCTGAATTCCTTTAGCTCATGTAATCCAGTGACTCTGTTAGTACCTGCTATTTCCATGTCCAAGTTCAACTGTCGCAATGCCCAAAGTGCTTTGTGCTCAAGCTCCACCGGTAGGTGGCATACCTTACCAAAGACCAATTTGTACGGTGACATATCAATTGGGGTTTTGAAGGTTGTGCGGTACGCCCACAATGCATCATCTAGTTTCCTTGCCCAATCAGTCCTTGTTGCATTCACTGTTTTTGCAAGGACACTTTTAATCTCCTTGTTGGACACTTCAGCTTGCCCGCTTGATTGTGGATGATATGTGGTGGTCACTTTATGACAAACTCCATATTTTTCAAGCAGTCATGCGAACGCTTTATTACAGAAATGAGTTCCGCCATCACTGAGTATAGCTCTTGGGGTGCCAAATTGTGTGAAAATGTTCTCCTTCAGAAAGCCTGTTACCCCTTTAGCATCATTGGTTGGGAGACCTGCTGCTTCGACCCACTTGGAGACGTAGTCAATTGCTACCAATATGTACATGTTACCATATGAGCTGACAAATGGCCCCATGAAGTCGATCCCCCACATGTCAAAAACCTCAATCTCTTGAATTGTGGTCATTGACATCTCATGTCTGCGAGATATATTACCTGTCCTTTGGCATTCATCACAGCTTTTGATCCAAGTATGGGCATCCTTGAACAGAGTTGGCCAATACAAGCCCGACTCCAACACCTTAGCTGCTGTCCGAATTCCTCCAAAGCGCCCACCATATGGTGAGGCATGGCATGCCTGCAAAATGGAATTTTGATCTTTCTCGGGGATACACCGCCGGATCATATTATCTATATAGATTTTAAACAAAAGAGGTTCATCCCAATAATAAGACCGACAATCACGAATTTTTTTTCTTTTGAATAGAGGAGAGCTCATGAGGTACAATACCACTTGCTAAATAATTAGCAATGCCAGCATACCATGGTGTTTCCTCCATTGTCATTGCTAGTAACTATTCATCCGGGAATGTCTCTATTATATCCTCAACCTCTACCTTCTTTTCAGCTCCTTCCAACCTTGAGAGGTGGTCAGCTACTTGGTTCTCTGTCCCTTTTCTGTCACGTATCTCCAGATCGAATTCTTGTAACAGGAGAACCCAGCGAATCAAGCGTGACTTTGACTCCTTCTTTTCTATCAAGTACCTAATTGCTGCATGGTCAGTGTAAACAATAACTTTTGAGCCAATTAAGTATGACCTGAATTTGTCGAATGCAAAAACGACAGCCAACATCTCTTTTTCCATCACGGTGTAATTGAGTTGTGCACCGCTACGCATTCTGCTTGCATAGTAAATCGGGTGCATCAGTTTATCCTTTCTCTGCCCCAAGACTGCTCCTATAGCATAATCACTTGCATCGCACATGAGCTCAGACGGTTGCTCCCAGTTGGGTGCAACAATGATGGGTGCAGTCACCAATCTCTTTTTTAACTCCTCAAATGCCAACGTGCAATCATTAGAAAACAAAAAAGGGTGATCCTTTTCAAGGAGTTTGCATAATGGGTTAGCAATTTTGGAGAAATCTTTTATAAATCGCCGGTAGAACTCGGCGTGCCCAAGGAAACTTCTCACTGCCTTGACTGAAGTAGGCAATGGCAACTTTTCAATCACGTCAACCTTAGCATGGTCAACCTCGATTCCCTTACTGGACACTCGATGTCCTAGGACTATCCCTTCTTGTACCATAAAATAACACTTCTCCTAGTTTAGTACTAAATTTGTCTCCACACATCTTTTGAGCACTCTTCTTAAATTGTGAAGACAATCCTCAAATGAATCCCCCACTGCGAAGAAATAATCCATAAAAATCTCCATAATATCCTCCACCATGTTTGTGAAAATGGCTAACATGCACCATTAAAATGTCGCAGGTGCATTGCAAAGCCCCAAAGGCATTCTTCGAAAGGCGAAGACGTCATACGAACAAGTGAAGGATGTTTTTTCTCTATCTTCGGGGGCTATTAGGATCTGATTGTACCCCGAATATCCATCCAAGAAACAGAAGTGTGATCGCCCGGCCAGCCTGTCCAACATTTGGTCAATGAATGGCAGAGGGAAATGGTCCTTCCGGGTGGCTGTGTTCAATTTCCGGTAATCCATGCAAATCCGCCATCTCGTGACTGTACGAGTTGAGATCAACTCGTTGTTCTCATTTTGTACAATCGTCATCCCCCCTTTTTTGGCACACATTGGATAGGGCTGACCCAATTGCTATCAGAGATGGGGAAGATGATTCCCGCATTTAACCATTTGATCACTTCTTTCTTCACCACCTCTTTCATATTCGGGTTCAGCCTTCGTTGATGCTCTCTGGAAGGTTTGTGCCCTTCTTCCAAGAGAATCTTGTGCATACAGAAGGCTGGGCTGATACCCTTTATGTCTGCCAGGGTCCAACCAATGACAGTCTTCTATTCCTGTAATACCTGTAGGAGCTACTCTACCTGCACATCTAGCAAACCGGATGATATAATGATAGGAAAAGTAGAGTCAGGGCATAAGAAAACGTACCTGAGGTGAGCTGGGAGTGGTTTCAGCTCCAGCTTGGGTGGTTCTTCTACTGATGGCTTTGCTGGAGGTGTAGCTCTTTTTTCTAACTCAAGGGACTCGTACTGAGGTTCCCTCTTCTAGAATCCTCGGCCTTCAAGTGCCATGACCCACTCAGCTAACCCGTTACCATCCATTTCCTCTAAGTTTGTTAGGCAAGCCTCTAATGGATCTTTAGCAGTCAAGGTCACATCATCTTTGTGCAGGATCACATCCACTGCCTCCACTAAGGAGCAATTAGCATATTCATTGGGTTTCCTCATAGATTGCTGAACGTTGAATATGACTTTTTCATTGTTCAGCCTCATTTTTAGTTCCCTAGTCTCACAATCAATCAATGCTCTCCTAGTGGCTAAGAATGGCCTCCCTAAAATGATAGGTATATCATCATCTACTTGATAGTACAGAATAACAAAGTCTGCAGGGAACACAAACTTCCCTAATTGTACCAACACATCATCAAAAATCCCAGTCGACCTTTTAACCAGGCGGTCTGCCAGCTACAACAGCATAGAAGTCGGTCTAGCTCTGCCAATACCCAATTTGGTGTATACAGCCAGAGACATCAAATTTATGCTGGCTCCTAAGTCACATAATGCCCTTGCAAAGGCATAACTCCTTATAGTGCATGGAATTGTAAAGCTACATGGGTCAGACATCTTTTGAGACATAGGTCTTGTCACTACTACGCCGCAGGTCTACGTCAGAGTCACTGTGGATAGGTCCTGAAAATCAAGCTTTCGTGACATTATATCCTTCATCATCTTCACATAACCTAACATCTCCCTCAAGGCATCCATCAAGGGAATATTCAACTGAATTTGTCACAACATCTCCATGAATTTCCTGTATTGATCTTCCTTCTTTTGTTTTACCAGTCTCTTAGGGAATGATGCAGGTACCACTTTTTGTGCACTACTTGCTGGCTTCTCTTTGTTTGGGTTCTGTGGCATAAGAGGCACTTCCTGTTGCAGCTTGTTCACTCGCCTTTTCCTTACCCTTTTCACCCTGATCCAGTTCAACTACCACTTCAGTAAGTTCTGCTGGTTCATCTACCTCTAGTGGAATTGGCGTGGCTGGCGTAGTCTCTTTGCTGGCTTGTGCCATTTCCTGCTCTTTGTCTAAATCTCTCCCATTCCGGAGACTTGCTGCCATCAACTAATTCTAGTTTTTCTCCTTGGGGTTGATATTTGTGTCCGCTGGCACCGTTCCCTGGGGACGGTTGTTTAAATCCATAGACAGCTGCCCCAACGGAGTTTCAATATTCTTTATAGCAGAATCATGCACTGCCAACTTTTCCTGCATCTTACCATTTGTCCCAATGAGTTGCTGAAGTATACCCCTGATCTCTATCATGTTGTTATCTTGTTGCTGAGGAGGTGGCTGATATATCAATTGTTGCTAGTTCTGCTGTGGATAACCCTGCTGCCTTTGGTATGGCACCACTTGGCCTTGAGGTTGCATACCTCCAGACTGTTGTATATTTGGCTTGTATTGCTGATATGGTGCCGGTCTCCACTAATGTCCTCCTGGTCTCTGACCCCCAAAGTTCTTGACATAATTCATATCTTCTCTTATCCCTTGATTGTCACCTTCTCCACTCCATAAGAACACATAAGACTGATTAACACAGGGTGTGCACAGTCCTCTATTTGTTGTGTCAACAATATGCACCTGTTTCGTACCCAACTCATCAATCTTCTTTGTCAATATACTCATCTGAGTTAGGAGTGTGGCCATGTTCTCTGCATGCGAATTATTTCGGTCAAGAGGAACAGAATGCATTATGGGTGCTAGTGTTGTACCTCTAGTCATCCACCCCGAATTTTGGGACATCTTGTCAAGAAGGACTTTGCACTCGGTGAATGTCTTACTCAAAAATGCACCTCCAGCTGAAGCATCCACATTGGTAAATTGTCAGCTAACCCCATGTAGAACCTCTGCCCGAGCATTTGATCCGAAATACCATGGTGAGGACACTTCACTAGCATCCCTTTAAACCTTTCCCAAGTTTCCTACAAGGTCTCAGTCTTCTGCTGCTTGTACTGCAATATTTCATCAATCTGCCGTGCAATTTTGTTGGGCGGGTAGAACTTATTCAGGAACTGCTTGACTAATTCCTCCCAGGTGACAATAGAATTAGGAGCGAATTTAGCCAAGTCTGAGCTTCCCCAGTCACAGAGAACGGAAACAGTAGTAGATTGATAGCTTCTGGGGTCACATTCGGCTGCCTTTGGTCCACACAAATCGACAATTTTTTTTTCAAGTGTTGCTGAGGGTCTTCAATGTGTGACCCGGAGAACAATCTTTTATTTTGCAGAAGGTGCAGCATGTTGTTGGTGACCTGGAAAGTCTCCGCTTGAATTAGGAGCACAACAATGGCAGTAGCCAGGTTGTCAGCTGTAGGTTGTGCCTCATCATAAAGTGTAACTTCTGGCACAAGAGGTGCCACTACTCCAACATTTGTGGGAGCTGGCACATCCCCGACATTTCTATTGATGTTCTCTGCATCACCCATGTCAAATTCGAGCTGGTGTAGGTGCTGTGATTGGTAGATCCTCTTGTTGGCACAGTTCAATGCCCTGAATGTTTTCTCAGGGTCTGAGAATCCTTCAAGCAGTTCTCCAGTCCTCGAAGAGTTTCTAGGCATACACTTGAAGTTCACAAGAGTTCAAACGTGAGAATTTCAATAAAAAGGTTGTTTAACACCTTCGAAAATTGATTTAAACTAATAATTCTAACACTACTTCTAAGTTGTAATAAATACACTGTTAGTCCCCGACAGCGGCGCCAAAATTTGGTCACGCCCAACTATGTCTTCTAAAGGACAAAGAGGTCATTGCAAATATAATCCAGTTTTAAGTTCGGAGTCGAATCCTCAGAGAACTAACCTATCTATCACAATTTTTTGGCAATGCTATTATCAACTCAACCACTTTCTAGATGTAAGATTTTGATCAACAAAGATTTGGTTTTTGTTTAACTACTTCAAATAATGTTAAAAATAACAATAAGCTTAAGCAAAGATAATTCAATGGTAAAAGGTCTAAGGCAGTGATGTCCCCAATTGCTAGTTTTAGATCTTGACTCTTTCGCTATAATCTCGCCGTAATATTCTATGAGGATTAAGGTCTATGGGTTATCATAATTATCTCTCGATCAACTACAATAATTTACTAGAGCATTCTCTCGAACTACTCTAGCTGACAATGTGTACAGCTCTAATTATCCCACCAAAATTTCGTTATCTCTAAACCCACTTTTAAATTCAAGTAATGAATCTCTTCAATTATCCAAAAGTGGTGTTGTTCAACATCAATCTAACCTAATATTCTTTCTCAAGCAATAAGAGGTAACTAGACACGATTAATCAAGGGCCCATTCAATTAATCACCATATAAAACATAGTAGAACAATCATATAATAAATCCGGCTCGATTATAACAAGTTGAGTCAAAACTTCAACCAACAATTGGGTTCATCAACCCTAGATAAGTGTTTAGATACTCATAACAAAACAAGAGAAAACTACTAAATTGTTCATAATATAAGATTGCAAGAAAATAAAAGGGAGATAGAAAAACTCTAATGTTTGGTTGATCTTCTCACACTTGTTCTTCCTCCTTTAATGTCTAAAATCCAGATAAGCTCTATTGCGGGCGAGCTTCTAAAGTATAATAAGGGTTTGGAACCAGTTTTCCTGATTTTGCACTTTGGTCCCTTAAATTTCTGGCAAATGAACAGTTCACCGCGGTCGCGGCAGAACCGCGGTAGGATCGCGGTAGGACCGCGGTGAACAATAAACATTCTTCCTCGCCACTTGATCTGCCGCGGTTTAACCGCGGTTCCACCGCGACCGTGGTGGATTTCCTTCAGTCCAATTTGCCACTTCATGCTCGGGTACTTCTTGATTGGGCGTTTTCTTCACATTATTGACTTCAAAACACTCCTTAGTGCTTTCTCGCTTAGATTATTCCCTACGAAGCATAAGAATATCAATTAGAGCATTTTGTTATCAATTTGCCTATAAAACCACAGTAAAGTATGGTAATATTGAGGTGTAAATATCATCTATATAGCCTAATATCAGTAGGCTATAATTACGTATTTTAGTCGCTTATTACATTCTAATTTACTGCACTTAATTGAGTTTGAGCTTTAATTGCTAGTGTTTTGCATTAATTGTGTGTTTTATGCCTTTTAAGAGTGATTTCGAGCTATGTAGATGTTATGGAATGCATTCAAATAATTTGGAGCTTTGAAGTTTGAGTAAAAGCCCAAGGAATTAAGCTGGTATCGTGTTCGAGGATCAATGGATGATAGTTAAAAACGAACGAAGAATCGAGTAGGCATATTGCGTAGTGTCTAGTAACATGTACATAACTTTTTGCTCAAAACTCCATTTGAGCTCCAAAATATATGGCCAGAAATCTAATTCTAAGGTCTACAACTTTTACGTTTTACGTTTTTCCAAATTCCTAACAGAACAAGGTTAAAACTGTGCGACAAGTGCGCAGCCGCACACTGGCCGCGTATGTGAGGTAGAAACTGGCCAATATCCGCGGTTGAATCCACGACCGCGGACGTCCTGATGTGGAAAAGTGTCCTTTCACATAGGAGAAGGTATAATTGTTTGGGCCCGATCCTACTTGGTATATATACATAGAAAAACGGTATTTTGAGCACCTTTGACAGACTTTTTATACAATTTAGACCTAAGGAGGCTAAGGAGACCAGAGATTCGACCTAAGGAGGCAAGAACACATTAGAAGCAAGGCGGAGGATTCTTCTACGAGTTTTTCACTTTCTTCTTCCTATTTTCATTATTGGTTATAAATTCTAGTAATGTATATTTGCATACTATTATGAATAGCTAATTTGTTATCTAGGGTTTTGATGGAACCTTTTGTAGGATAAATACTTGTTATGTTTTTATATAATTGAGTCGTTGGATTTCTCTACTCGTTCAACTACGTGTTTGTTGCTGTTGATTGAATGACCATCAATTGACTGTGCCTATTTAGTGTGTACTGCTCGAGAAAGAGTACTTATTTAGGTAGTTGTTGAACAACGTCACTCCTAACGTATGTGAGAAATCAATACAGTGGGTTTAACGGTAGGTTTAGAAATAACAAAGCCTTGATGTGGTTATAGTGAGCGGTTAGATGAAGTCAACTAGCGTAGTTCGAGAGAATATGTCTAGTAAATTATTGTAGTTGCTCGAGAGAGAATTACGACACCTAAAGTGCTCATGATCAGTAGAGAATACATTGGCGAAATTGTTGGGATTATAGCTGGAAGGATTCCGACAATTGAGGAAGTCATAACTCTAGACCTCCTTAATTTAGTCTCCAACCCTTTGTCTAGTTAGTTGATAATTTTACCGCTTTCTAGTATTTGCTAGTTAATTAGTTAGAAATATAAATCTCAATCTTTATAATTTAGAAAATTGTTCAAACTTGTCTTCTTAGTGATATTAAACAGATATAGCTAAGTCTTAGTTCTCTGTGGGATTCGACTTCAAACTTTTAGACCGAATTATATTTGCAGCGAACGCTTATCCTTTTTAGGACTAGAGTTGGGTGTGATCATTACCATTAGAAATAAAACATCCCATGGTTGCGTAAGAACCTGAAATTAAGGAACACATCCCACGAACTCCCATCCCCCAAAATGTGATCTTCATCCCCTCCTTATTTTCCCCTAAAATTTCTTAATAAATTAACTAAGTATCATTCTAAAAGATATTACAGATTTTTTACATTAACTTTTTAACTCTAAAAATAAATTTTAGTTATACTTTTTAAATTAAAGACAAGTACAACTGATATCACGTTTTAGGATTATCCAATATATCATAAAACCTAAACTCAAATTTAATCGCTATGTTGTTATCTAATTATCTCCGTTCCTCAAATATCTATAAGAAAAGAAAGATGCTTGAATATGCAAAAACATGTTTTTCACCTTTTGCTTATTAAGAATAGCCAAAATTTACAGAGTTTTTAAAAGTTGGTTACCTAGTGTCAAACTTCAAACCTTCGAGAAGATGAAGAAGCAACAGCTGGATTGGTGTGAAATTTACCAAAATTGGCTAAAATTATAATAATTTCTAAAATTAGATACTATGTTTTAAATATGATGCTAAAAGAGGCTACATAGATGTCCCGTGGCCACTCCCTGACTTTGAAAAATAATAAATGTCCATTTCACAACTAATAGCCCGGTTTGATGAAGCTTTTTTTGGTCAAAAGTGCTTTTTTTGTACTTTTGACCAAAAGTTAAGGTGTTTGGCCAAGTTTTTGAAAGGAAGAAAAGTGCTTTTGAGAAGAATAAAAGGTGATTTTTAAATTAATTAGCCAAGTACAAACTGGTTCTCACAGAAAATACTTGTCAAAATAACAAATTGCTGTACTTATCAAAATAAGGTGCTTTTAGAAGCTTGTCCAACGAGGCTATAAGATTCATGACAACTTGTAAAACTTAAAACTGTAAGACAATGGCTATTTGTGAATTTTACACTTACCTATTGCCATTTCTACCATAGATCCATACATAACTTAATGCGGGTATACTGTCAAACCAAATTCCTGTTTGGTTGTACTTATGCAATAGTTTATATTTTCTTATATGGCCAAAATACACTATATTATCATATAAGGAAATTTTATGCAGAGATTTATTATTCCAATATGATTAACCAAACGACCCAACATTTTCATTTACAGATAGAGATGTTTAGAATAATTAATTTATTCATTTTTAATGAAGGGATCGATGGAAATGTCTTATTTGGTGCATATCTCACGGGCTGAGGAAGAAATTGTGGAAAAGTTATGAACGATGACAAGGAAGCCACTTCTTCAGAGCGTAATTGCTCTACTGAATTTCAGAGTCCACAACAAATGGATTGGGTACGTACCAATTTTCAATATCCTCTTCCTTTATTATGCTTTTGTAGTACTAATTCGCACAAGTAAATTTTGAACCTTTTACAACTTGGTACTGTTTTAATCAGCTCAGGATTCAAGATTCTTTAAAGAGACAGTTGATCACTGAAGATGATTTCAAATGGAGATTACCCCCCAAAATGAATGAAAGAGAAAAAGAAGGAAGTAATTGTGAAATATTGCTGAAGTATGTTGGTGGGGTTGACTTGAGTTTCTCAAAAGAAGACTCATCGATTGCCTGTGGTACACTTGTTGTTTTGGACTTTCAGACCCTCAAAGTTGTTTATGAAGATTCTTCTATTGTTAGACTTCACATTCCATATCTTCCTGGCTTCCTTGCCTTCAGAGAGGTCTCCTACATGTATCTTTAGTCAATATATAATATAGTCCTTATTTGTTTGACACTTTTCTTTTTGTTCATCAAGAAAGATTAACACATTTCTATATTTGGAAACTAGTTAATTTTGCATTCATTTTGCCATTGATATGACTTGCTCTAGGTTATACCGGATGTAAAAACTATCGTTTGGTACAAGGGTACTTTTGATATATTATCCGTTTTTAGCTTAAGCGTAAAGTTCCATATTTTTCATTAAACTCATGTTTAGTCAAACAATTCCAGACAAATTGGCATAGAGGGAGGGAGTATGTCTTATTGATTGTTTATTTCTGCAGTGAGTTCCCATTTTAACTTATCAATTTGCTAAAACTTTGGAACATATAAGCCCCCAGTTTGGTCTAGTTGTAAGAGCGTAATAAGTGATGTGTGCGTTAGGCGATGTGTGCGTTAGGCGCAAGTCACAATTCAAACCCTGCTGCAGACAAAAACCTGATACTTAATCCATTGAGTTTCAAAACCGTGCGCCACTGACCTTGGAGATTTCTTGATTATAAAAAAAAATTAAAAAAAATTGAAACATATAGTGATGATCTTCATTGAAATTGTTAAAAAGAAGAACATGATTAGATTTGGTAGGATGTTGTTTTTATGTTTGTTGTGAGAGAGTAATCTTGGAATCTTACTTATATTAATTATACAAACTCAACATTCTTGTGAGTAATGTGAACTGACCTGGTATATTTGCCCAACTGATTCTTTAAGGCCCCTGTACTCCTGGAGCTTTTGGATAAAATGAAGAAAAATGCTCATCCTTTTTACCCACAGGTGAATGTTGATGAATTTCCTCCACTCTTCCCCTCTCTCCTTGCTTATTTCGCATTCCGTAAATGGTGCAAATTTTGTTCTAAAGTCAATATACTGGCTCAAATCAGCTAAATGTTATGATACAAGTGTTGTTTTTCACATTAAGCTTACTCTAAGTTTGTTATCTACCAAGTAAAAGAAACATTGAAGCCATAATTCTCTTCAAGAAGGGCAGTGAATTGGATTTTGGCTGGTTAAACCAAATCTTGCACCTTCCTTGTACCGTTAGTGCTCTACTCCACACCCAACCCAACATCAACCTCTACCTCAAAATAGTGACCTGCCTACTTCTATCCTACCTTCTATTATTTACTCAAGAGGAAAAAAGGAGAGGGGGAAAAAAGCTAAGAGATATTACCTGCTAATGCCTAATTAATAGTCAGTAGTTGTAGAAGATTTTGTTCCTAACTTGCTGGAACTGTCAAGTTCTACAAACGAAAGCCTCATGGTTCCTATTTAAATCAACTAATGGGCAGCATAAGATGACTAAAAACATCTATGCAAGTAGTAGTTTCATTAATTACTTAAGGGGCAATTTTCTCTTGTGAGTTAGACTTCCAATGAATATGCAGCCAGGAAAGTGTTTATGCTACAAAATGTGTTGCCTACTGGTAATTCTAATTCTGTTTCCTCCCTTCCTTTTCTTTTGTACATAGTCCTCTCGTAGGTTCAATATACATTATTGAGTTGGATTGAGATTCTTCCCCTACCATGTGCTGTGATGAAGCTAGAATCTTATGCCTTTTCCTGCGTCTGAAATTCTGAATTTTAAGAAAGTTGATAGAAACTTGTTACCCGAGAAATGTGAAAAGAATGAAATAATTCTAAAAGAAATAAATTTTTCGTTGTATGCGTGGAAAAGAGGCCTAAAGTTAGTGTTAGAGATAGCTATGTAATTGTCCCACATTGGAATAGGAGTAGTATCCCCTTTGTATAGAGTAGCTATAAATAGCACCTCTTGTATTGCATCACATACAACAATATCAATATATCATATTTTCTCCCGTGCCTTCTCACATGGTATCAGAGCTATCGTGAGAGATTTATCGCTGTGCATAAATTCCAGCGATTCCGGGAAGTAAAATCAGTCACCGGAACCCTTTTTCCGGCGACTTTCAAAGTTGTTTTGCGTCTGCTTTGTCTCGGTCAGTATTGTGCACAAAATCCAACACTACCACAAGAGTAGTCACTGTCCGGCGACCAAATCCCAGTGAAAATCTCCGGCGGTACTGTAG